TATACCCAGTAGCTTTATTTGTGCTTGATTCTGCCACATGCCTGCCTACATCGAGCTCACAGAAATACGTTTCTTTCTACAAAGACTCCAACAGCAACAAACACACCTATGCTCGTCTGTACTTTTTTTTTTTTTTTTTAAATCTTTATTGATTTCAGAGAGAGGAAAGGAGAGGGAGAGAGATAGAAACATCAATGATGAGAGAGTCATTGATCGAGCCCGCAACTGGGCATGTGCCCTGACCAGGAATCGAACCCTGATTGCCTGGATCCTAGGTCGACGCTCAACCGCTGAGCCACGCCCGGCCGGGCTCGTCTGTACTTAGTATACTCGCACCGTTAGCTCACATGGTTCCCCCAGCAGCCCGGCGAGGAGGCCGTAGCACGTCACAGAGAAGGGCACGGCCTTTTTCACGGGATCTGTTAGGAGGAGGACAGGTGAGAGGCCCACTCACCTGCTTCTGGGCTGGATGCTCTCTGACTCCCGTTTCGATGCTGGAATTTCCCCCTCTAGGAGTGAGGGCGTGAATGTCGTACGCGTGTCAGAGTCAGTGATGGAAGCAATCCGCCACAGGCCGAGGACCTTTCCAACGCCTGTCAGCATCGCCCGTCGTTTGTCATGAAGAACAAGGCGTTCGCTTGGGCTTAGCTTTCCCGCGAGCGCCTCTGCGGCCCATCCCAGCGGTGGCTTCCACATCTGCAGGGGGTGACAGCGCAGGGGAGGGCGGCTGCCTTTCAGACGGTGGCAGTTTCTGGCCTCCTGCGAGGGGGTTAGGGGGCGAGGAGGGTCAGCCTGAAGAAAGTGAGGGATGGCCGAACCCCCATCCCGCTCAAAACAAAAAGCTTCTACTCAGACTCATTCCCCGCTAAAGAAGGGTTAACCACACCACCGCGTGGGCTTTCCTGCGTCCAGGCACTTACCTTGCTTCTGTCTTGGGTGAGATCAGCCCCATTTATAAATGAGAGTTTTGTTTGGAGGGGAAGGAGCCAGCCCGGGTGGGAGTCCAGGTGTGGGGCCCTCCGGGAGTCATCCACAGAGGCCAGGGTGCCAAGCGGGCAGGAGACAGGCGCTTAGAACCATAAAGCAGACCAAAACAGAACAAAGAGCGATGCCTGGTGTCTTCTGCAGCCTTCCCTAGAGTGCCCAAATCATCCAGTGGGTACAGCTCAATAACTGCTTTTCCCTGAGTGAGGGTAATTAAGCATTCTTTTTGTTTCTTTGCTTTGTTAATCTTCACCTGAGGATATTTTTTCCATTGCTTTTTAGAGAGAGGGAGGGAGGGAGGAGAGAGACCCATCAATTGGTTGCCTCCCGCACACTCCTCGACCCGGCGGGGATCGAACCTGCCACCCAAGTACGTGCCCTTGACTTGGAATCGAGCCCAAGATCCTTTGGTGCTCGGGGCAACGCTCTCACCGCTGAGCCACACCAGCCAGGGAAGAATTAAGCGTTCTTGAAGGACACGGGCAAAGTTGTAGCGTCAGAATGTCTTTGCAGCGCAGTTTATAGCAGCAATGAGTTGGCAGTAACCTAACCGTGGAGGGTGGGGACGGTTCAGGAAACCTCGCTCATCCGTGGCTGGAGAAAGGTATCCGCCCTCCAACACTGTGCCCTGAGGTGTGTGTCGATGGGCCGGGTATTGCAGGGGGAGTCGTTTTCCCCGCGTCACTACAGTCTTTGCTGCTTCGCGGGCGCTCTGCTGTGCGCTGAGGTTGCGGGAAATCTGCGCAGAGTGAATTGCTGAGCTTCTGGCAGGGCTCGCCTCTGCTCACAAGCCTCTGGGGTTTCCAAGCCTCCCCCAGTTGCACGGCGTTGTTTGGGAGTAAACTTTAGGAAATTTCTAAGCTTTTTTTTTTTTTTTTGCCTCCCTGCTTGTATTTTCATTTCAGCTCCAGACACAGCTGCCTGTTGGGCGGAGGGAGAGATGGGACCTCAGGTCGACCCCTGTCCCTCTGCCCTGCACCCTCTTTGGCCTGCGCACACTTTACACACAGCCGGCTTCATGCACGCGCAGGTGAAGGGTGCCTCTCCGCCTCTAGCCCTTTATATTCTCGGGGGGAAATGTATCATGCTCTTTGGCCTTGAAACACAGGGGCCCTTAGGAAAGGGTGACATTCCAGAATTTATTTCCCTTTTGGCAAATGACATGCAACTGTTTTCGGAGAGGAGTGCTGCCTGGTTAGGTGAAGCTGCCCGGGACCGTCTGCAGCCCCAGCTGCTCACCTAGCGTGGCACCTGGTCAGCTACATGGGCCTTCTCCCCTGCCCACGGAAGGAGAAGGCGCTCAGCTCGCTCATGGGTCTAGGCGGTTAAAATCCAAAAGCCTCAATGTCTTGGATGCAGCTACTTTGCCAAGTAAACGTCCTGAAAATACTGACATCTCTGGAATTAGGTTCTCCTTACCAAGGGGTATTAAATGTCGGCACGTGAGAAGCCAGAGTGTCAGAGCACCCCCACTTCCCCTCACCCCCATCAACTTAGGCCCTCCCAGTGCTGCTGAGAGTACTCACACCAGCTAATTTATGCATCACCCACCTAGGAGCACCTTGGTTGCTTCTAAGTGTTGGCAACTGTGAGTAAAGCTGAAATAAATGTCCACTTGCAGATTTCTGTGTGGACACAACTCCTTTGAGTAAATACTAAGAAATGCAACTATTAGATCCTACGGTCAGAGTGTTTAGTTTTGTAAGAAACTGCCAAACTGTCTCCCAAAGTGGCTGCGCCATTTTTTTGTTCCCACCAGCAGTGAACAAGGGTTCTTATTGCTCCACAGCCTCGCCAGCATTTGGCATTATTAGTGTTTTGGATTTTGGCCACTTTAATAGGTGTGTGGGAGCATGTCATTCTTGTTTTAGTCTGCGGCCCCCTGATGACATAAGATGTTGAGTGGATTTTTCGATGGGCATTGTGAGGGCACATGATGGCATGAAAACACAAACTCTTTGTTGAAAGCACTTAAAATCATTTTATTTTGGGTATTTCATGAAAAGCAATGACATGATCATCACGGCGAAAACTAAATTTGTTGGACTTGCACGCAGTTCATTTCTGGTTGGGGAGCGCTTTTACGCTGGCCTGGTGCTGGGAGCTCACCACCACCCTGTTCCTGAAGGTCCTATCCGGCCCTCTCAGTCCTCATATGCTGTTAGCAAGTCCTGTGTGTGGACACCTGGGTTGACCCACCTTTGGGCTATTGTGAATGATGCTGCTATGAACATGGGTGTTTAAACACCTGAGTCCCTGCTAGAACACCTGGGAATAAAATAAAATATCAGGCGATCACGAGAGAGCGCCTCCAGACGGAGCATGGTGGCTCCTGTGACATCAGAAAACGGATTCTCTATAAAGCACGGTCGAGGGCCGTTCTGATTGCAACTAACACATACCAGCAATGTCTTCGTAACGTGACAAACACTGTATTTTGCATGCTTGCCACGGTACATGAATACTCAGGAAGAAAATCCCACCCAGCAAATGCCAGCCAACACAAGGAATGGAGTGACTCCAGCCCTCCCGGTGGTTGCCCTCCACCCTCAGACCAATGAGCTCAGCGTCTTCCTCACCTGATCCCACAGGGCCGCCTTCCTCCAACACCGCCTCCCTTTCCAGCCTCACCGCCAAGTCCCTTCGTCTGTCCTGTCATTCTTGCTGCTATTCACGCAGCCCTTCTGCCGAATGCGCTTCCCCTGCTCCTTCACGGGCTGCGCTTTCAGCGGGGAGGAGTTGCTTGGTTGCCCAAAGGCCCAGAGTGCTCCGGACATGACTGCAGAGACCCCGAGGGGACAGGGAAGGTCCCAGCTTCGTTGACTTTGAGTTGGGAGCTTGCCTGTTTCCCGCTCCTCTGGCAGGAGTGGACACGTGAATGTGACTGTGGGAATCAGGGCGGGGGGGGGCTGGCGGCAGGTTCCCCCCCCCAGGAGGCTCTGTGATTTCTGTCCCATCAGAGGGCGAGCATCTCATCAGCATAACACGCTTGCTTGTCTTGTTACAGTGCAGTCGGGAGGCACGTTTCGGGGTGTTCCTTTCCCCCCAAAACGCGTCGTGTTTTCGGTCCCGGCGCCTGACATTCCTGGCCTTCTCAGAGCTTTGTCACTTTCGGTGCTAAACAATGGCCTCTTTCTGGGCAGAGCAGAGTCCAGCCCTGCTTAACGTTAGCACTGCAGAGTTCACTTCCAAATGCTCTTTCTTGGCTCAGGCCAGCCTCCGGCCAGAACATCTGTGCTGGGAAGGGCGTTCGATCCCTTTTCACTTCTTAGTCTCCCTGCTCCCCTGCAAGCAAATAATGAGGTTTTATTGTCACCCTTCCAATCCCTATGTCTTTCATTTTTTGAACCTTCAGTCACTGTTGCTTAGAAGCAGTAGCAGTAAACATCCCTCTCTCGTCCCTACATTATTTGTTTTTCCCATGACTAAACCAAATATCTTACTTGTATAACGGAAGAAAATGTGCAGCTGGCATTGGGAGCTTTAAGGAATTCTGCTCTAATGGGGGCCTTGCTGATACCTGTTATTTGAAGTTCACGATAATGATCTGTAAAGTTCTACCTGACATTAGCTTCTACAATTTTATTTCTTAATTAACATACAGTAGAATTGATTCTGTGTGAGCATGGGTACCATTCTATGAATTTTAACATGTACAAATTCATGTGGCCATATGTACAGAAGAGTTCCATCACCCAAAAGACGCCCTCACGCTGCCCCTTTACAGCCACATTCCCCCCTCCCCTCCCCTGTAATCACTGGTCACCTCATGAACAATGGCCTACTGACCATGAAGTCCTGCAGGCCAGAGGCATACATGCATTTGGGACTGGATAAGTGGAGTGGCTGATGCCGTGGGAATGAAAGCAGGAGCCCAGGAAGCAAGGAGGCCACCTGTTGTCGTTCCCTCCTGCCCCGATCTCCGCTTTCTTCCTAGCACTGACCTACGTGGCAGGTGTTCTCTCATTGGTGACCTGCCACTTCTCTGCACCCGGTTTCTGGAGAATCATTATGCTCTCCACAGAGGCCACTGGGCCCAGGAAAATTCTGTTTTCCAGGGCAATGGGTGTGCCCGCTGTCTGGGTGTTGAGTTAAGCTTGGTTACAGAGAACTGACTCAGATTCTGGTGACCAGGCTCTGTGTCTCCTGCTGGGGACTGGAAACCATGGTAATTGGCATCTTGATCTAATGTTTTATAAGTGGATCTATAATCAATAGTAACGCAATGCTTACACTTCTTAAATTCTCAGAATGAGTCACATCACTTCTCCTTCCGAAGCAACGAACCTCTGGCCAGCCATCCTCATACGGCTTTCTTTGTTTTCTCTCACAGTGGCCCTGTTCCCCCAAAATCCAGCAGAGAAGAATAGAAACCCATTAGCTTCTGAAGCCAAGATCAAAGCTGTCCCTACTGAGCAATCTGCATTTTTTACCCAAGAAGAAAAGGCTTGTAGCGCCACCTGCTGGGCATCCTGAGCTGTGCACACTTAGGTGGTTTAACCCCCTCATTTACTTAATCTCCAAGAGATACCTGGGGGCAGGAGAAGACTTTTAAAGGAGGGCTCAGAGAGGTCTGAGGGCGCCAAGTTTTGGCTGCTCAGATGCCTAACCTCAGGACCAGCTGCACTGGATAATAACCCCCGCCCTGGGGCTGACCAATCAGTCAGTGGAGGCCTGGACCCTGAAAGGACACACCTGGAAAACTGGTGAATATTCTATTAAGATCTTCCCCTGGGACCGCCCCTAAAATCTCCTCCCTTAAAAGCCTTAGGACAGAGAACCCAGCACTCTCCCACTTGGGAGCGGGCCCAAGCCTCTCCCTCCCCCTTCTGGCAGGTTACTATTAGCTTCCTCACTCCCAAGCCCTAAGGGCCCTTCCTTTGCCTCTATAACTTGTTTCCTAAGCCCATTTCTTCTAGGAATTACTTCTGTCACCTCTGTAATTCTACCAAATAAATGTTTTCTTATAGTTTGGGTCTTGGCTCTGAATTCTTTCTTAGCCAGAACTCAGGTACAGAGGTTGCTGAACCCAGGTTTGGTCGGACCCCGCTGGTCAGACACCTTGTGCCGCTCCTGCCACCTACAACATAATGGTGCCATGACTCTGAATGTAACTCCATCACTGGTAAGCCAGTTGTCCTCACCATCTTGTCTTGAAGGGATGTGGTGGGCAGTTAGACAGACATGAGTAGAGCAAGGATGATGGGCTAGGTACAGAAGGTCTTCAGGGTGGAATGCCCCATGTGCCCAGCAATTGTAGGGTGGGGCCTTGCCCCTAGGTTGGCCTTTCTGCCCCCTAGCATATCACTGGTCATGTGGTTGAGACCCCCCAGACCTCTCCTCCCTAGAAATAACATCTAGTCCTCAGTTGTATTTCCGTTCCAGGCTNGCATATCACTGGTCATGTGGTTGAGACCCCCCAGACCTCTCCTCCCTAGAAATAACATCTAGTCCTCAGTTGTATTTCGGTTCCAGGCTCAGAAAAACAACAAAACCAGCCACAGCTGACCTCAGGACCAGCTGCATTGGATAATGACCCCGCCCAGGAGCCAACCAATCAGTGGAGACCAAAGCCCTGAAAGGACATGCCTGGAAAACTGCTGAATATTCTATTGAGATCTTCCCCTGGGACCTCCCCTAAAATCTCCACCCTTAAAACCATTAGGATGGCGGACCCAGTGCCTCTCCCTCCTGGGAACCTGCCCCCACCTTCCCCCTCACCCACCTAGGTGCATAAGCAAAGCTCCAAGGGCCCTTCCTTTGCCTCTATAACTTATTTCCTAAGCCCATTTCTTCTAGGAATTGCTCCTTCTACCTCTAATTTTACAAATAAATGTTCTCTTTCTGTTTGGGTCTTGGGTCTGAATTCCTTCCTAGCCAGAACCCAAGTACCGAGGTTGCTGAACCCAGGTTTGGTCTGACACCACTGGTCAGACACCTGGTGTCTTTCCCGCCGCCTACAACTGTGATTAAAGAATACATTTCTAATGAATTACTTTTAATATCTAAAAAGTCTTTACCAAAATGTAATATATTTAGGCATGTGTGGTCTTTTTTATCAATCATGTATTAATAATAATTGTGTCTGGCCGGTGTGGCTCAGTGGTTTAGCTTTGACCTAGGATCCAGGAGGTCGCGGTTTGATTCCCGGTCAGAGCACATGCCTGGGTTTCGGGCCCCTGGGTCCCCAGCAGGGGGGAGCAGGAGGCCGCCGATCAATGACTCTCATCATTGATGTTTCTCTCTCTCTCCCTCCCTCCCTGAAATCAATAAATACATAGTTAAAAAATAATAATAATTGTAATGAGAATGCAAGAAGAAAAATTTAACACTTAGAACTTTCTAATTATAGGAAAGTAAATATTAATTTAAATATATTCAGTTGCAGAGCAGTGTGACAGGATCATCAAAAAAAGACTATCAAGTGTAAAAATGTTGCAAATCGAAAAAAATTCTGTGAGAAATATAAATGGAAATAGAATCTCAAAGGGAAAAAGATGTAAAATGTAAGGGGAAATGTGAGTCACCAGCAACATGTGCACCGCTCAGGAGCCCGGGGTGGGACTCCCCCCTGAAAAGCCAGAGGGTTCAGGGATGCCGCGTGGGCGCCCCGACTTCGGACCTCAGAACCTCATTAAAGGTCACAGGGTCAGACCCCAACGTCGGGGCCCCAGGGAGCCAAAGGCACGGAGGCAGGTCAGCGCCGGGGCCCTGGATCGCTCCCGAGGGGGCGGGGAGACGCGGGACGGGGCGGAGCTACGCTAGCTCCGCGGAAGAGGCCAGGGATTGGTGGGCGGGGCGCGCCGGGGGCGGGGCGACGCTAGTCCTGACGCAGCGGGATTGGTGGGCGGGGCGACGCTAGTCCTGAAGCAGCGGCGTTGGTGGGCGGGGCGCGCCGGGGGC